AAAATGCTTTCTAAAAATCGTAAACTTTACTGCTGTTTTGTTGACTATCGTAAGAATAGAAATATTTTTTTTTTGAAACCTTTTTCATAATGGAATCAGAGGAAAATTATTTAATATTTTGAAATCTTTATATGAAGGTTTAAAGTCCTGTGTGAGATATAAGTCTGAATTGTCTGAATTTGTTTCGTGCTCACGAGGCTTGATGCAAGGGGAGGGGTTATCTCCCTTCCTTTACTTCATGTATGTGCATGATTTTGAAAATGAACTTATTAATACTTCCTGTGACGCTTTATTCTTAGGAGATATTTATCTGTTTCTTCTTATGTATGCAGATGATACTGTCCTTTTCTCAGAATCTGCCTCTGGCTTGCAGAAAATGTTAGACTCCTTAAAACAATATAGCGACAAATGGCAATTGACAGTCAATATGGAAAAAACAAAAATTGTTGTATTTCGTAATGGCGGAAGATTACGAGCTGATTTTTATAACTTTAATGGCAATTAAATAGAAATTGTTGATAGATTTAATTACCTTGGTGTACTGCTCAGCTTTAATGGTAAGTTTACAAAAACTCAAGTTACTATTGCTGAACAAGGTCGTAAATGTATGTATAATGCGTTAAGAATTTGTAACAATTTGTCCCTCAATGTAGAATCTAAACTTAATGTTTTTGATGTCCATGTTTCCTCCACTCTTAATTACGGTTGCGAAACATGGGGTTTCAATATTGCGGACAAAGTAGAAAAAGTGCATGTTGATTTTTTAGAAAGAATTCTGAATGTAAAAAAAGGTACGCCATCTTTTATGGTATATTCGGAATTAGGACGTCTGCCTTTGCATATCATCAGGAAGTGTCGAATAATCAAATATTGGTTGAAACTAATTAAATGCAACAATTGTGTTCTTAAGTCAGTCTATGAAGATATGGATGAATGTAATCACCGAAACTGTAATTGGCGCTGTCAAGTTAGACAATTATTATTGTCCTCTGGTTTTGGTAATGTCTGGTTAACTCATTATGTTGATAATGAAAGGGTATTTTTACATTGTTTCAAGCAGCGTTTGACAGATGTTTTTATTCAAACAAGGAATGAATTTGCTGAAAGATCATCCAAATATTATTTGTATAAATTCCTGATAGATAACTTTACGTTACAATTTTATCTAACAAAGTCTATTCCAGATGCGTATCTTAAACTTATTTCGAAATTACGACTTTCATCGCATCAGTTATATGTAGAAGAAGGTCGGTATCGTAATATTCCGAGGGCGAATAGGTTATGCCGTTATTGTAATCAAAACCAGGTAGAGGACGAGTTCCATTTTGTTCTGATTTGTCCACTCTATGTTGATATTCGTAAAAAGTTCATTAAAAAGTATTACTGGAGCCGCCCATCTTCATATAAACTTGTCCAGCTGCTGGCTGTACATAACAGAAAAGAGCTGTGTAATTTAGGAAAATATCTGCAATCAAGTTGGTTAGAACGGTCTAGATTCCAACCNAATCTTGAGAACGAAATAAAATGAAAACGCGAATGAAATGGAATGAAATGGAATGAAAACGGAATGAAAACGCAAAATCTGTCAACTGAAACGCTGATACCCCTGTACTAGTTAATAGGGTGACTACAGTAAGGGTGACAACAATAATACTAGTGCATATGGTGACAACAATAATACTAGTACATTGGGTGACAACAGTAATACTAGTACATAGGGTCACAACAATAATACTGGTACATAGGGTGACAACAATAATACTAGTACATAGGGTGACAACAATAATACTAGTACATAGGGTGACAACAGTAATACTAGTACATAGGGTGACAACAATAATACTAGTACATTGGGTGACAACAGTAATACTAGTACATATGGTCACAACAATAATACTAGTACATATGGTCACAACAATAATACTAGTACATTGGGTCACAACAATAATACTGGTACATAGGGTGACAGCAGTATCAATGGAACATACATGTAGGGGGACAAAAAAATACTAGCATACTGGGTGACACCAGTAATACTTGCACATACGGTGACAACTGTAATACTAGGACATAGGGTGACGGTCGTTAAACCAGTATATAGAGTGACACCAATACTACTAGTACAAAGGGTAACAACAGTAATACTAGTACACAAGGTGACAACCGTTAAACTAGTATATAAGGGGGACAACAGTAATACTGGTACATAAGGTAACGACAGTAATACTAGTACATAGGGTGACATCACTTATACTCGTACATATGGTTACAACAGTTATTCTTGAACATAGGGTAACATACAACAGTAATAGTAGCGCATTTGTTGACAACAGTAGTACTAGTATATATGGTGACAACAACAGTAATACTAGTACATAGGGTGACAACAATAATACTAGTACATTGGGTGACAACAGTAATACTAGTACATATGTTGACAACAGTAGTACTAGTATATATGGTGACAACAACAGTAATACTAGTACATAGGGTGACAACAGCAGTAATACTAGTACATATGTTGACAACAGTATTACTAGTACATAGGGTGACAACAACAGTAGTAATACTAGTACATAGGGTGACAATAACAGTAATACTAGTACATAGGGTGACAACAGCAGTAATACTAGTACATAGGGAGACAACAACAGTAATACTAGTACATAGGGGGACAACAACAGTAGTAATACTAGTACATAGGGTGACAATAACAGTAATACTAGTACATAGGGTGACAACAGCAGTAATACTAGTACATATGGTGACAACAACAGTAATACTAGTACATAGGGTGACAACAACAGTAATACTAGTACATAGGGTGACAACAACAGTAATACTAGTACATAGGGTGACAACAGCAGTAATACTAGTACATAGGGTGACACCAGCAATACTAGCGCATATGATGACAACATGAATACTATTACATAGGGTGATAACAGTTATGCTAGTACTGTACATATGGTTACATCAATACTACTAGAACAAAGGGTGACAACAGTAATACTAGAACATAGGGTGACTTTATCAATACAAGCGCGTATGATGACAACAGTTATACTCTTACAGGGTGACAACATTTATGCTAATACTGTACATAGAGTGACAACTGTAATACTAGTACATAGGATGATAGCAGCAATGGTACATACATATACGGTGACAAACAAATATACTAGTACATAGGGTGACACGATTAATACTAGGACATAAGGTGACACGATTAATACTAGGACATAAGGGGACGCCAGTAATTCCACGTGATGTCTAAATAAAAAGTGTGCATATAATGAAAATGATCCGTTGGTGTGATGCTACGTTCCGCCTCTATTCCACTTAAGTTGATTGTCGTTCTAATGTTGACATCATTTTCCTAAAGTGCTTAATGTTAGTATGTCATAAAACACAGCCTTTGGCCATTGTCACTAAGTAGTCTTTTGGTTTTCTACTTTATCTGATACATGATATCAACAAATCAAATATAGGTACGATTATTACGCTGGGGATAGATTTCACCGATTTCACAGCAATAATATAAGACTCTTTCATGCCCAGGGTTATAGGATAGGGATAACACATTCGTGTTAACTCCATTCGGCAATTAGTTAGGTGCGAATTTTTCTCCAACCAAAGGCATTTACTAGGTTTTTGTTCAAACACATTTTATCGCCAAAATATTATATAATATATTCCGGACTTATCCAGGCCATATCGCTAACATAAAATACACACATTATACACATACATGAGTGAAGTGGCTTGTATATATGCAATGATAATATGTTGATTGAAGGAAAATCAAGCTGATATAAATCAAACTCCAGATATGAATTCAGTGAACTACATTTGTGTTTCAGGCTAGTGAAAAATACATTGGATTTTTAATCACTAACTTAGAGATAAAGTGAACGTAAGAAGTACTCAGAACTTAAGATAAATTCAAATTTTCATTTTAGGATGGTCAATCGCCGTCAATGTCTTTTATAGTACGACAGACAAGCACCTGGTTGGGATTGGGGCTTATTCATATAACTCCATCATCACAGAATTAGAAGTCTAAAATATCTAATGAGATGTAGATTATCACATTTGTTAAATTACGTTTAAAACATTTACTCTTACTACTATAAAGGTACAATTTTGAATTAAATTGAACTAAAAGGAATCTTGTTTTTATTTTTGTGGATGTTTTGGTCGTGAATTTAAATCAAATAGCTTTAACACACTGATATATGTTACTGTTATGGAGGCGCGGTAGTCTAGTGGAAGGACGTCGGGCTCGTGACCGAAGGGTTGCGGGTTCGAGGCACTGCACGGCACAGCACGGTACGGCACGGCACTGTGTTGTATCCTTGAGAAAGATACTTTACTCCGCTTGTTGCAGTCTACTCAGCTGTACATGAGTATGTGGTTGGGCAGTGCTAGAATTGTAGAATGCTAGCTGTGAGCGCCGAAATGGCAGCACCGGCTGTATGCTCCCCAGGGAGTTGAGAACGATATTGGCTGGTTGCAAAGGCCCTATAACCACGGATAATAATTTGTTAACCGTTTTAAGACGACCTACGAACTAGGTTGTGATAAAGCGGTTTCTAAGAACCTCGAATCATTATTATTATTATTATATATTTGCTTTGCGAGTTGTCATCCAACGCCATTTCCACGTTTAGTGCAATTAATAGAGGAACAATTATAATAATTTGTATATCTATATTTATCTGTTTTGTATCGCCTTAATTTAAGTATTTAGTATGTAAAAGGAAAATACCCTTTCCTAGCATAGCAAAGTACATGGATGTTTAGGTTTGAGTTTATGTAAGGCACTGCTAGAACGAAAATGTTGCTTCTATATTATATGATAAGTATTTCACAAGAAAGAGATAACATGTTCAAGACATATTGATGGTATCATTGCGAAGGATAATTGACAACAAATCAACAACGGTTTATATGTAGGCTACCTTACACAGACATATTTGTTATGATACCAGGACTAATACTTCCTGATAGAGAGGCCCGGTCATTTTAACTATTCACAACACAGCTAGGTCGTAGTTGGGTTACAACATGTTTCTCACAATTATATGTATATTAACTTCCATACAAGTTACTGTACGAGGTAAGTGGCATTTTATTCGTTTAACATTCAATCAATTATGCTGAGTTTATTAATACATTGCACAATGTGATAGATCAAGCAATCCTGCTTGATTGTATGTGTGCTGTGTTTAACGTCCCCCATTATGACCTAGTAAACAATCCAGATACCCAATGTCAGTCTATTTATAGCACGTATATCAGTGTTTTACAGGTTTTCCCCTTTACCTTAGTTAAACCGGGTACAGTGTAGATAATTAGAATAAGGCGTTTGTACTGCATATTTTCTCAAAAAGAAAAATCTAACGACAGTATAAATAGTTCAGTGTATATCTGAATTTAGATATATACCAAATGTGCATTTGTTACAATGATTTAGTTTATTACAACAAATCCATATGTCATTGCAAATGTAACTTTTTGCAGTTATATCCATCGATAGATATAACAGCACATTTTGCTTTTGTTCATTTTTTTGTGTTCTGCATGAAGTTCGTCTTGCGTGTTGTACTTATTCTGGAAGTTGACAATTTGATTTTGTTGAAGACGTTATCATCCTTGTATCTCAGCATCATTTGACAACGCTAAATGTGCCGTTTCTTATCTGTATTTATGTTATTAAATTTGTATTAAGAATGTATGCATTGCATCAGGTCAAGCCATCACACCTGTGTATGTCCAGAGTAACGCACCCGTTACACTGACCTGTACGGCTGATGATCAGGCCACTACACTGACCTGGACAGGACCGGGAGGTACCCTGTATGTCACGGGTACCACAGTGGAGGCTGGTCTAGATGACGGTGTTAAACCCCGGATATCTGCCCGTCATACGGGAGGGAGTTATACACTGACGTTTACAGAGTTCCGGTCCAGTGATACGGGGATATATACGTGTACAGTGGACGGGACAGCGGATATACAGATGGTTGTTACGCAAGGTACAGAGATAATCCGTAACTAATAATACATTCACAAAACGATTTAGTTTTCGTTTGTGATAGTGAAGCACTTCCAAACTGCATTTCATTTAAAATATTTAAGGTAACTTAGTGCATGTTCACGATCGTTTTTGTCATATAACAACATAGGCAGCAGGTGATTATTGAACATCAAAATGTCCCACCACAAACTTTACTACTTCAGTTTGTCCATGGGGATTTGACAAAATAAACACGGTCCGTAGTCGATTTAATTGTTAATCTGTGTTATACTTTAAGGGGAGCATATGGCCAATTAACGTATTGATGTATATCATTGATGCCATCATGTACTGAATATATCATAAGGTTGTATTATTTTCAGGTGTGACATCAGCAAGGCCAGTGTATACCCGACTTGGCGGGACTAAAACATTACAGTGTAATTATACTGGTGGTAGAGCATCGTGGTCTGTCACTTCCATTCTGTTTATTTACACTATTGGAGCACAAATGAACCCCGACATACAAGATTCTTTGAGAACCAGACTGAACGTGACAACACAGGACGCGACATACAACCTACAGATCAGTGACGTACAATTAACAGACATCAGGGAGTACAAATGTAGCATAGTACTTACAGACACATTCTATCATCTACTACTGTACAGTAAGTATCAAATATGTATTATCATTGTTAACTACAGAACTGATTGTTTATTAAAATTGAAGGCTTGAAATAGAAATCGTGCCTATGTTTCTCTTGTATCCTCCGAATTATGCCTATGTTTCTCTTGTATCCTCCGAATTGTGCCTATGTTTCCCTTGTATCCTCCGAATTGTGCCTATGTTTCCCTTGTATCCTCCGAATTGTGCCTATGTTTCTCTTGTATCCTCCGAATTGTGCCTATGTTTCTCTTGTATCCTCCGAATTGTGCCTATGTTTCTCTTGTATCTTCCGAACTGTGCCTATGTTTTTCTTGTATCCTCCGAATTGTGCCTATGTTTTTCAATTATCCTCCGAATTGTGCCTATGTTTATCTGGTATCCTCCGAATTGTGCCTATGTTTCTCTTGTATCCTCCGAATTGTGTCTATGTTTCTCTTGTATCCTCCGAATTGTGTCTATGTTTCTCTTGTATCCTCCGAATTGTGCTTATGTTTCTCTTGTATCCTCCGAATTGTGTCTATGTTTCTCTTGTATCCTCCGAATTGTGCTTATGTTTCTCTTGTATCCTCCGAATTGTGCTTATGTTTCTCTTGTATCCTCCGAATTGTGCCTATGTTTATCTGGTATCCTCCGAATTGTGCCTATGTTTCTCTTATATCCTCCGAATTGTGCCTATGTTTCTCTTATATCCTCCGAATTGTGCCTATGTTTCTCTTGGATCTTCCGAACTGTGCCTATGTTTTTCTTGTATCCTCCGAATTGTGCCTATGTTTCTCTTATATCCTCCGAATTGTGCCTATGTTTCTCTTATATCCTCCGAATTGTGCCTATGTTTCTCTTATATCCTCCGAATTGTGCCTATGTTTCTCTTGTATCCTCCGAACTGTGCCTATGTTTCCCTTGTATCCTCCGAACTGTGTCTATGTTTCCCTTGTATCATCCGAACTGTGCCTATGTTTCTCTTGTATCCTCCGAATTGTGCCTATGCTTCCCTTGTATCCTCCGAACTGTGCCTATGTTTCCCTTGTATCCTCCGAACTGTGATTATGTTTCCCTTGTATCATCCGAACTGTGCCTATGTTTCTCTTGTATCCTCCGAATTGTGCTTATGTTTCTCTTGTATCCTCCGAATTGTGCCTATGTTTCTCTTGTATCCTCCGAATTGTGCCTATGTTTCTCTTGTATCCTCCGAATTGTGCCTATGTTTCTCTTGTATCCTCCGAATTGTGCCTATGTTTCTCTTGTATCCTCCGAATTGTGCCTATGTTTCTCTTGTATCCTCCGAATTGTGCCTATGTTTCTCTTGTATCCTCCGAATCGTGCCTATGTTTCTCTTGTATCCTCCGAATTGTGCCATCGATTTATAATGATATGTGGTGTTTGAATGGTACGACGCAGTGGCATGGTAACGTATCTTAGGAAACGGCAAACAAAGTATCGTTAACACGATTATATACCTGTACAATGTTTGGCGTGGAGATATTATATTTCACAATATTAAAATTGTAAATTGTTATTGAATGTTCTTAACTGTGAATTATTATCATCAACGAACTAGCATTATGTTAATATCAAAAGAGCGTCTAAGTATTTAATCATCTTCGGCACAGTTGCCATTATTTCACTGAAACATTTATAAATAAGCATAACACAAACGTTGAAAACATGAGTAAAACGTGTTAACAAGTTATATACTAATGTAAATTGAAACTGGTTACTAACGATAGTAAAGGAGCTATAACCAACGGCTATCTCAACACAATTCGGCAAAGCCGTTTCTTAATATTTCGATATATGCGACAAATAAGTGTCAATATTTCAACAGTTTATGTTATCTTGTTATGGCCTTGAGTTAAAACAAGCACTATGCATTTCGTTGTTGTATGTTATTTGCTTTCGTCATATACCATTATAAGAAGAAGGAAAAGTTCTACATTGTGTATACGAAATCAAGACTTTTTTGCTATTAGCCTAATAGCTAGCCTTGGAGGATACAGATGTATTGGAAGGACTATACAAATAGGAAGTTATTATAAATTAATATTATCTTAAAAGGGGAATACACAATATTATCAATCAATACCTTTGGAAAAAATGCGGCGATAACGTCGTTGTGAAAATGCTTTCGTGACGGCAGTAAGTCTTTTTTTACAGCAAGTTGTGCTGGTTTAAACTTCGAAATTGTTTGTAATAATTAAATCATCAAATCGAGGCTTTAAATAATCAAACTGGCATGATTCCGTGGATTGGAGGTTGCTTTCTTGTACTCGGGTGTCTTCCGTTCAGGCGATATGTATAACAGACAGTACCACGGGCGACTGACTTTATAAACACTCCAACATGCACAGTCATAACATGCATACTTGCATGAATTACTGTCAACAAACTTTCACATGATATCATTGGTGATATTTTGTGGAGAGAACAACAACCAATAATTTCAATCATAATAGAACATTAAGTTTAGAACAAATACAGGTCAGTTAGTTATGCGTAAACTGGTGACAAACACAATATTTAAATTCACATTATTTTAACATTGCTTTCTATTGTGTAGTTCCTCCAGCCTTTCCTGTAATCGAGAACACTGTTAGTGTTGGTGGACAGAACAGAACAATAGGTACAGAGGACACCAATATTACCTTAACGTGTAACGCACGTGGTGGTGTTCCAGTCAATAATGTGTCATGGATCAAAGATGGCGCCACGCTTGTGACCTCAGAAAATACAGTACAGTACACAAAAGTGTTAACCCGGACAGACGACAGGGCTATATATACATGTCAGTCTAATAGTCCAGCCCTGACTAGTCCTCAGACCACCAGTGTGTTGGTATACCTAGATTGTGAGTATAAAATGGGTATACGTGTCAAGCTAGTAGTCCAGCCCTGACCAGTCCTCAGACTATCAGTGTATTGGTATACCTATATGGTGAGTATAGAGTAACAGTCCATTCCTGACCAGTCCTCAGACTACCAGTGTGTTGGTATACCTAGATTGTGAGTATAGAGTAATAGTCAATCCCTGACCAGTCCTCAGACTACCAGTGTGTTGGTATACCTAGATTGTGAGTATAGAGTAATAGTCCATCCCTGACCAGTCCTCAGACCCCCTTTGTGTTGGTATACCTATATGGTGAGTATAGAGTAACAGTCCATCCCTGACCAGTCCCCAGACTACCAGTGTATTGGTATACCTATATTGTGAGTAAACAGTAATAGTCAATTCCTGACGAGTCCCCAGACTACCAGTTTGTCGGTATACCTAGATTGTGAGTATAGTGTCTGTTTACATGTCAGTCTAGTAGTCCCGCCCTGACCAGTCATCATACCATCAGTGTGTTGGTATACTTAGATTGTGAGTATAGAGTAATAGTCCAGCCCTGACCAGTCCCCAGACCACCAGTGTATTGGTATACCTATATTGTGAGTATAGAGTATTAGTCAATCCCTGACCAGTCCCCAGACCACCAGTGTATTGGTATACCTATATTGTGAGTATATAGTAATGGTCCATTCCTGACCAGTCCTCAGACCCCCTTTGTGTTGGTATACCTATATGGTGAGTATAGAGTAACAGTCCATCCCTGACCAGTCCACAGACTACCATTGTGTTGGTATACCTATATTGTGAGTATAGAGTAATAGTTCATCCCTGACCAGTCCTCAGACTACCAGTGTGTTGGTATATCTATATTGTGAGTATAGTGTTTGTATGCATGTCAGTCTAGTAGTCCAGTCCTGACCAGTCATCATACCATCAGTGTGTTGGTATACTTAGATTGTGAGCATTTAGTAATTGTAAGTATAAAGTGTGTTTACATGTCAGTATAGTAGTACAGCGTTGACCAGTCATCAAATTAGTTTTGTCGTCATAATTTAAGTACAATTTATCCTCGTCCATTTCCATCTAGTTTCACTAATGTATTCTAGTAAAACCCAGACAGCCTACAATATCGGACCGGTTGTCCCAGACCGAAAATAGGAACCTACAAGTGGTGTGTGTGTCTACAGGAAGTAGACCAGCGGCCGATATTGAGTGGAATGTTGGCGGAACACGGCTGTCCAACAATCCCACAGAGGTCAAAGTAAAGGACATTGCATCAGATACCTACACCGTGACGTCAACACTTTCACTACCAGTCACACGTCAGGACAATGGGAAGTCTGTGTACTGTATAGCCAGTAACCAGGTCTTGTCGGGAGGGATTAAGTCAGTACGACACAGTATAACAGTATTATGTAAGTATACCATATATATATATAATACTCCCAGTCACCCGTCAGGACAATGGTTAGTCAGTGTACTGTATAGCCAGTAACCCGGCCTTGTCTGGAGGGATTGCGTCAGTACAACACAGTATAACAGTATTGTGTAAGTATATCATATCAGACACTCCCAGTCACCCGTCAGGACAATTGGAAGTCTGTGTACTGTATAGCCATTAACCAGGCCGTATAGCCATTAACCAGGCCTTGTCTGGAGGGATTGCGTCAGTACAACACAGTATAACAGTATTGTGTAAGTATGTCATATCAGACACTCCCAGTCACCCGTCAGGACAATTGGAAGTCTGTGCACTGTATAGCCATTAACCAGGCCTTGTCTGGAGGGATTGCGTCAGTACAACACAGTATAACAGTATTGTGTAAGTATATCATATCAGACACTTCCGGTCACCCGTCAGGACAATGGGAAGTCTGTGTACTGTATAGCCAGTAACCAGGCCTTGTCTGGAGGGATTGCGTCAGTACAACACAGTATAACAGTATTGTGTAAGTATATAATATCAGACACTCCCGGTCACCCGTCAGGAAAATGGGTAGTCTGTGTACTGTATAGCTAGTAACCAGGCCTTGTTTGGGGGGATTGAGTCAGTAGGACGCAACATAACAGTATTGTTTAAGTATATCCTTATCTAACACTCCCGGTCACCCGTCAGGACAATTGGAAGTCTGTGTACTGTAGAGTCAGTATCCAGGCTTTGTCTTGAGGGATTGAGTCAGTAGGACGCAATATATCAGTTTTCTGTGAGTACATCATGACTAAAACACGGTAAACAATGGGACAAATGGGTTACCGTTAAGTAAGGGCAACACGTATTTGCTTGAGGCAACTAAAGCGCAATGATACCCGGACATTCAATGCAAACTACGTACGTGAAGCTGAAAACGGAATCTCATTTCCCTTTTTGAAACGATAACTCAAACTTAAGGCAATATCTACATAATATCAAATCTTTGGTTTTGGCATATCTATGAACATTTGTACCCTTAAAAATGTGCATGACATAGCAAATTAGCCTTGCTACTGTATAACGTATACAAGAATATAGTTTATGAATGAAATTATACAAACAAAATTGTTTACAAACGTTTGTTATTGTAACGCTACAGGGATTTAATGCAAAACAAAATATTTCTTCTATTTGGCACTGGAACGTTGTGTAATCAGATCAGTTGTTCGTGACTTGTTATTCTGAATGGAGGTGTCAATTAAGAGGTGTCACGCCAATTGCTCCGTCAATTTCACACGCATAATAGCAAATATAGTGCAAGTGGCAAAGTTGTTTGATGATATCTTCTTCAAAGACATATAGTTTATCATTTGTCCTAGGTTGATAATCCTTTCTCTATAATTTCAGAAAGTGAAATTGTCCATGAAATTTCAAAACTAGAACAATACCCTAGTTGCTATTAATTAATGAATAAATGGAGAGGAAAAACGGAAGAGCTTACGAAAGTATATGAGTACACCCAGATGGTCACGTGTGAGTGGCTTTGTCATTATACCGAAAATTTACATACTCGATATGGAAACACTGGTGTGCCATGGAGTCTGCACGTGATCTTCATTTAATATTATCTTTATGATAAGTATACACCGTAACATAGATGGCAATACAATGTTGTTTTCTTATACAGATCCTCCTGATATCCACGTGAATTACACAAACACCACCTACACGTCGTCCCACAGGGTTCTGACGTGTGTACCAGACGGTAACCCGGACACCTACCAGTTTGGTCAGTGGCGACACACAGCAGAAGATGGTACAGAGATACGTCATTTGACCGGAAGTTCCAGCCCCTTACAATCTGTCCTGACCCTGCCTGACCCCGGTGTTACCAGACGGTATGAGGACACGGGGTACTATGTATGTGAAGCCTCCAACAATATACCAGACTCGTCTTTCTATAATTCCGGCTCTGTCTTCTTAACTGTAGAAGGTAAATAATATCTAAATTGTGTTCTTCTTTAAGTCCGACTCTGTTTTTGATGCAGTAGGTACATAGAAACAAGAAATTAAATATCTTCAATCTGTTTCTCTACGAAGCAATTAATCTATAATGAATAGTAAACAAAAATGAAAAACATGAAGTGAAATACCCGGAAAATGTGAAAGTTTAGTCAGCAATGCTTACATGTAACATTTTTTTTTTATTATCATGGCTTTGAAGTCAACATTGATCATTTTCGAATACTTTCAGACTCGTATTTGTAACATAAGACTAATTTTCACGTAGATTTGTTGAAAGTCAATGCATACAATGTGTGGACATAGTATCTGAATTGTTTACAGCGGTAGATAGTAATATGTATACTTTGAACTTTAATTGGACTATTCCTTGGTATCTCAGATATTTTCAAAATAAAAATGTGGATCCTAGTTCTATCAAGGGTGGAAATATTCAAAAATGTAGAATAGGACAACTTAAGTATATGTTACAGATAAATGATTCATACTTAACCTATCTGGTTTCAATATTGTGCACGACTTTTTTTTTCATTTTTTGAAACGTTTATTTCAAAACTAGTCCAGTTTTGTTTAATTCTATGAATGTTTCTTTATTTTACGTGATTAAAAATCCTAGATTTTTTTTCACAGAACTGTTAAAATGTAAGTCTTTGAAACATGCAAGTGTCTACAGCTCCTCCTGTTGTGGAGAAAATAAATCATGGAAGAAACATATGAATTTATAATTTTCTTTATATATTTGGAATGTGTTATATTATTATGATATTTAATATTTCAGCTCCTCCTGTGGTAGTAACTAAAAATATTGTGGTCAAGATACAGATTGGGAACAATGCAACTATCGAGGTAGAGTTTTACAGCCAACCAGCGGTCAGCTCCAGTGACGTCACGTGGACCAGGGGTCCAGGGAGAATACTTCCCCCTGACAGATCTGCCGTCTCTCTAGGTAGTAGGTCTCTACTAATGTCGTTCTATGGGGAAGATGTAAAGGTCAAAGGTTACATCGCCGCACTGACAATCAATACATTGACTGAAGAGGACTTCGGTGATTACACCGTGACAATAGAAAACAGTCTGGGGACCACGAACCATACAGTAGCATTGCTCATAGCAGGTAAATCGTGTATTGAACAGAATTAATGTTTCTTTATGTTATGAAATTAAACAAAGCCATACCCATGCATTATTGTTGTATTGAAACGACGTCAATGTAAACAAACCACGAACGATATGTTCATGATATTATGGTATCGTTGACTATCAGAGAGAGAGAGAGAGAGAGAGAGAGAGAGAGAGAGAGAGAGAGAGAGAGAGAGAGAGAGAGAGAGAGAGAGAGAACTCAGTTTCGGATGGCATATTCTTATCCCTCTGATAAATCAGCAGAAAAGTCCACATCAGTTGTGTTACATTTAACATTTGATGTATCTTACAACCGAAGTTTAAAAATCAGATTTCAACATTTCATTGCCACTATTTTGTCAAACTATGCCAACTTGTTTTCCATATTGCCTTAATTATTCCCTTAACAACCACATCCTTCCTTTGACAGAATTTACTAATTTTGACACGTTCTTTAATTTCATAAGCAGTTTGATGTTACTTTTTTGTACTAAAAATGTACAAATGTCTAGATTGAATAATAAAAAAAAATTGCAGGTCCACCATTAACACCTCTTTACCTGTTACAAAAGCGCGTAACAAGCAGTAGCATCACCGTGCAGTGGATCCGCGGGTCAGACGAGGAACAGGTACAGACGTTTGTGATTAGCTACAAGTCTGACGTCATCATGGACTACAGCGACTTGGACGCTATTCCGGATAGCCAGGAATCCGTTATGTCGTATACGATAGAAGGATTGACACCGGATACCACATACTATATCCGGCTTTATTCTCAAAACGATATTGGCTTAAGTGATCAGATTTCTGCTAACATTTCAACGAATTGTAAGTTAAACTGATGTATATTTTACCTTACATAAACAACAATAACTCGTTAACACAATACCAAATATATGGGGAAAAAATCCAGATAAAAGCATGTAACTGTCGTATTGAAACATTATTTTTTTTGTTTGCCTCACTTACAAGAATGTAACAGGCGCTACTTGTTTGTCAACAACTAAACAGCTACCTTGGAATATTACAAAAAGACAAACAGTTGTCTCTGCTTTATAAACAATTTATCGAGTGTTTATTTAAAAAAAATATATATTTTGCTCATTATTCCGTTGCTGTACCAAGTCGGCGATGACTGTACTGAGAAGTTACATTCGACTACAGCTGCCCTGATCTCCGTGTCTGTCCTTTGTGTTGTGGTGGTTGTCATAGCGGTGACATTGATCGTTGTCATATGTAAGTACAGACAGTTACATTGCATAATGCATATTATTATCGCTTACATGACTATGTAAATGCTAAATACATTAGGTTTTTGGAGTCATTCAAGTCCATAAATGTAACTTTGATAATTATTGCATATATATATATTTTTTATATGTAAAATAATAGTTTTTTTTATCTTTTTTACACCATTTATGGTTATCTGTCGTTACTGTGGTTACATCGTGGTTATTTTTGTTTCCTCAGATAGGCGGTTACTTTCAGGATGGTAAGAATATACAGAAAATGTTTTGAGCTATTAATAACTAATCGGTATGGTATTTCCAATTTACGAGATTTTCGAATTTCGATGATTAATCTATACTACAGAGAGAGAAAAAAGTAATAGACAGTATTCAATGTTTTGATTCATGACTACAAATTTGTTTCAGAACAATATATTACACGCAAGTCGAAACAATAAACATTAATCGTCTCTCAATACTCTTGGTTTCAAGGGAAAACCTAGCATCAGTTCATCAATGACATTGACAGTATTACGATAACTGCAATTGTTATGACGATACACAACAGTATAGCATACAGATATATGGTACACATATGTTTTCGCTAAATGATGCCTCATACATCGGCTACATATTAAATGATCCTTATTACAAAAAAATAACAATTAAACAAATAAACAAAAATAAAATAGAAAGAAAAAGAAAATGCGAGACTATGTAAACGTATTGTTAAGAATTAACTATACAACCAATTATAAATGGTAATATTTGTTCTGTCATGTTCAGCTTCACTGGCGGAAACAATGTTCCACCCCATGAGCAAGAACTGACACAGCACTCCATAAAGGACACCAGTGAGTACATCTGAAACGTCTGAAGGAGTATATCCAATTTTGACTGCTTTTGTTTTATTTCAACTGATTTTATTTGTGTTTTTTTGTATGTGTGTTATATGAAAAAGAAACGAGTCAAATTTTCGGTATTGTGTAACCTCTGTTTCTGTTTAATCAAATAGGTTTGTAAGTCATAAATGTATGTTTTGTTCAAGTGAAAGAAAATGCACAGACGTTTTAACAGACCCTAGCTCTCTTTATTTGCAATCACAAGGATATGAGGAAATCTACTCCAATCCTTATATCAGTACATACTCATTAATGCACAACTGTATATGTACACTATACAGTATTTTCTTATAACTCTTATGTTTCTCTTCATGTGGTATCCAATCTGTTAACTAAGATATTTAAAACAAAATCGAATTAATTTAGGTTTTCTTCTGATATCACTAAAAAGAATACATCACATGTATGAGAGAGAGAACAAAAGTTTGAATACCAAAATCAACAAAGCCACAATTCGATATCAAAATTGCGAGTGGGTTATTAAATTAGCGTGTACTTATTACATTATTGCAAGGTATTGCATGCATTTGGAATGTGTGTACAGGTTTGTATCTATTAGATGATGATACACAATAAGTGTGTAGCTAGAAATGTTTAGTATGGTTATAAATGTGACACACCATGTCATGGACATTGACGTAAGAGTATTACGACGCTTTTTTTCAGGAAACGAGCAGGCACAAATTGAAGAAAGGTATGCATATAATTATAAAAGTATTAATAATATACACATATAATTGTGTAAAATTAAATAGAAAATCTTTCATCTTTAATCGGTGCGTATCTGAATACGTTTATCCCTATTTCTACGTCGTTAAGCAAAGCAACGTTAATACTATTATTATGATGATGATGATAATAATTTTACAATTTATCACCAAGGTTCATATGTGAAAGGAACATACAAACAGTGTTAATAACTTATTGATAAATATGCATTGCATTCAAGTAATATATATATATTCTTTTATGCGCTTTAAAGCAAATCGCACTACCAAGAACTGAATCCAAATGAAATCCAGCAGCCGTCTCCCTACGAAGACATCTCCGGTGGTAAGTCAATTTTTACATACCGTGCATCTTTATTAGTAGCTTCAGGTATTTAGGTTTTTACAGCTTTGCGCTGATAACGCAACAGCTAGGCTATTTTTAGGCGCATAAACACTTTGAAGATATTTGCAATTTCATACACTTTATACATGATGTAATTACATTAACCCTGTTTCCACACTTGCATGGTAACAGCAAGGAAACGCGTGTACCGGGGAAGATACACATCGAACCAACATGGCACACTTATTAGCATTATCAAAACATCCGCCACCATAACAGCTTGATGATCATAAATCGTAATCGTGATCAATTTTAGAAACCCTCTATTGTAGATTTATCTTTCATAAACCGACATATATTATGGAAATCACGATATTCGGAGCAATCTTTCGGATACGGAATCGGTTGCGAAATATGGATTGTAGCCTCGAGCAACTAAAACCAAACGTTTATATCACAAGTTCAAACTAAATCCTTTTTTTGCACCTTACAACGCAAATGGAATTTGCTTAATTGCTGCATAGTTATGCATGTCAAATTAAGCAAGTCCTGCATCAATATTTTTTTTTCAAGGCTATTTTAATTTACTTGTCATTTTGGTTGTCTATCTTTAATAAATATGATATATTGATCAGTCTATTAGATTAGTTAACAGCCAGGATAATGCATTAATGTATAATATCAAAGTTGACATTCGCAGGGAACGAAGATGCCATTACGGAAAATGAAAGGTGGGAGTTAATTTTATTTGACTTTAGATATAATATATATGTACGCTTCAAAACACACATACGTCAGCTTATACTGTTTATGTTACAAATCTGGCTTTCCGGTTTTAAAGTATATATTTTGGAGACTCAAATTGATCCGTTTTCACATCAAGAGGTATTTCTAAAACAGTTCTGTGGTATTAATTTGAGATTTGTGTCCACAGGAAAAACTACGAACCACTACAGGGCGTTTCAGTTACACACGAATACGAACAACTACAGGTAGACGAAGGTTAGTTGTTTAAAAACAATACAGGCTAGTTGTATCTATATGTAACTGGAAATATGTATAGCAGACTTATACTATAATGCAGCTTTTTTAAAAGCGACAACTAATTGACAAAAAGTGTGAAATGCTAATCTAAAATGACAATTCCAAATACATGCAAGGTACTACTAGATCAATGGTCAAACATAGTGCATTAGTGACGTGAATCCACTCGATTTCTGAGAATGCTTATTTTGTCCAATTCTGTTTTTAGGATCGAGACGGTATGCAAATACATGAAGGATTTGAACTTGTTGGAAAAATACTGTCGTATAAAATTGAATCCTGGAACAGTCAAGCATAGGCAGTGCATCATTTTTACATACAACGGGCTTCAGATGTATCTTCAGGCAAATGGCCAATCAAATACTTGGAATGTTTTTGGCAGAAAACGTACTTTAAACGTATGGTCTGATATTGTTCTATTACAAAACTGACGTGTCTTTGGTTCAATTGTGGTCAAAGTAAGGATGGCGTGGCTTTACTATAAAATCGCACAATCGATTGTTGACCGTTCTCGGAACACTCGGGTGCACGATTACCAGTGGCGTTCTTAACCGTTTTCATCGTCGTTTGAAAAAGGTTCCGATAGTGAGATAAACGTACATTTTGTATCACAGTGTTTTTGCGTATCAACGTGACAGTAGACGTCCACTTCTTGAACACAAACTGATGTGCCTTACACAGATGACAGTACAAGGAGCAACACATAAAGAAGTGCTATGACCAAAAACCAAAGTTTTCTGTTTGCATTAAGTATACTATAAATATTCATTAGTTCATGTCATTTGATACCAGAGATGTTACATACGTTTTGGTGATATTCCTCTTGCCGATATGTAAAGTGGACTGAACGACATGGGATATACAACACCATTCATTGTACATGTACCCACTGTATTTCATAGGAGCATAACGATCAACATCATATTGTTCATCAGTACATTTTCATTTATCTGTCAATGTCACTAATTTAGATAAAATGTTATTTCATATCATCACGCTATCTGTTGTTCTTGTTTAATAGATCTAAGTTATTTAATAGCGTTTGTAATGTAATCAACAATTGACAAAGTATTCATTGATAGAACAAAATATTCCCTTCGTACAAAGCAAATGTCTATACTATTTTCTGCAGCTGGTAAAATATACGCTTTAGAATTAGAAAATATATCATCACATTATCACCTCAATGTTTTGTTGACGAGGTCAGCACTAAGTAGGTACTCGAGTTAGAGAGTGTAATTAAGTTATCCAGTGACAAGGAAGTATTTGAAGAGTGTTTACCATCCCGCTGTGTTTGTCTATTGCGTTTGTGTAGTAATATATGAAATATGAGTAGGCAGGTTTTACAACTAAGATGTGATATTTAGTTTTATACTTCAGTCAGATTATTGAGTTAGGGATATCCAGACATGTATGTATTACTTCTCAAAAGACTTGCTTTGAAGTGATAATGTAAAATCGGGCTATATCTTGTAATTTTGGTCACTAAACGTGTGCTCTACTTTTTTTAGATCCAAAAGAATTACCACATCCAGTTTTACTCCATATTTCTGAGCAACTACTACTGTGTGACATATTATGCATTTACACCAAATCCCTATGCCCTAGTGTTGAAGGATGACCAAACTCTCCATAAAAACAGATAATTTATTTTGACCATTTGTTTAACATTAAAATCACAATACTACTAACAATATGTTTTACTATAACAAACAGTAGTAGGTTAACACAAACTTTGTTTTGATTTCTAAAGATCATTTAAATGTCACACAGAATCAAATGGAGAACATATATCAGGTCTTAATCATAACCAGCACACTATAGAGAAAAAAGCTGCAAAAAAGGAGACACCACAATCACAAACGGAAATATTTCCCCATCATGATTAATAATACAAGCTTCCCATTGTTTTGATTTTTAAAATGACATAATATTTCTTCACCTTGAAACTTTTCTTATATCTTTTTGTAATGACTAGGATATACTTACTATTAGTTTTTCCAATACGTATATGTGCAGGTATAGGTGTCCGCCTGTCATATCTAGCCTCATCTATTTCGTATCATATCTATTTTCCCTCTGACGGTATAACAATCCTATACCAAATGTCCCCCCCCCCCCCCCCCCCCCCTCCCCTGCAATTATTGTAAATGCTGTCAGGATCAATGTCGGCAGGTTCGTATTTGTACATATACAGTACCATGCAGAGGATGAGAGTATATGGGTAACATGGATGCATTTGTCTACAGGTGGCTGTTGTTTGTTTATCTCTGAGTCATCATTCAAACAGCATTTTTGACAAATCAATTCCCGCTTTCTCTACTTTTGGGCCCAGTTGACCAATTAATTCGAATTTGGTTACAATCCCTCGTCCTGTCGTTTGAAGGGAGCTATCTTTTAAAAGCAAAAAGTGACGATATGAAGTAGGAAAAGAAAAAGCGTACCTGACAACTGTGTATGGTTTCTTCAGCTTGTTAAATACGAGCTGTACACATGGAAAATAGATCATTACATTATTACCCCGATGCATTATGGTTGTTGGCAGCTGTAAGTATGTACTTAAATACGATATTGTTATTCACTTATCTTCTAACAGAGAAGTACTTGAATAGTTTCCGATTCGGTATTAACAAGTGTGCACTTGAGCCATTTTTGTAAACTCAATGGCAATGATTCAGATTACAATAACGATATTGAGACTTAAATGCGCCTCAACGAACGTACTCTGAATATCCAGGCCTACAGTGATGATATTTAGCTATAAGCATGCTCGGATGAAGGATTACCAAGTTAATTCAATTTAATTTAGCCTAAATATGTTATTTTTTCGAACCTCTTCTCCTGAATAACCATATGTCCTGCGTTAATGCAATCTGGTAAGTACAGTACTATGGTGGCGTAAATGGGTGCGGAGTTTGTTAAACTGAACGACATTGACTGACATTCAAGTTCACATGATTCAAAATCAGTTAAATAAGCATCACATACATATAATATTTGATTTATATATACTTGAAGGGTAGCACTACGATATATAAACCCACAAATATTACATGAACTTCGGATGAATCAAACATTTTGACTTTACGTTTTCTTTATAATCTGCATGATGAAGCTGTTTCAAATTGAAGATTGACCTGAAGATTTTATAATATCTGCAACTGATAATTTAAAATACATATTAAAAATAATTTTAAGACTAAACTGTTATTTATTTTAATGACCTAAAAAAATCAAAACATTCGAAACTACGGATTATTTATAAACAGTGCCTCTATTTACAAAAGCTGCATTGCGGGGGAGATTCGAAGTAATGCCCGATCGTGTTCCGCGAAACCGACAGTTCGGCAAAACGACACGCATACCACGACCGTCTGTACGGCAAAACGACACACATGTTTACCTAGACCGTCTATGCTGCAATACGACACATATACCTATACCGTCTGTACGGCTCTCAAATTGATGATTTACCTGAAAATTTTATAATATCTGCAACTGATAATTTAACATACATACTAAAAATAATTTTAAGACTAAAATGTTATTTATTTTAATGACTTAAAAAAATCAAAACATTCGAAACTACGGATTATTTATAAACAGTGCCTCTATTTACAAAAGGGCGGTACCCGAGTAAATCAGTTTACGCTTCTCACTCAAATTGGTTGCACTGCCTTCGTCATTCAGTCTGACGACCGCATCATTCAGGTTACTAAAACAGAAGGGGAAACACCTATCGGAAGTTCCCAAGCTGCATTGCGGGGGAAATTCCAAGTAATGCCCGATCGTGTTCCGCGAAACCGACAGTTCGGCAAAACGACACGCATACCACGACCGTCTGTACGGCAAAACGACACACATGTTTACCTAGACCGTCTGTGCTGCAATACCACACACATACCCTGTACCGTCTGTACGGCTCTCAATATATTATTCTGGTTTGGTCATATTTGTGTTAAATAACTTTAGTTTTTGAGACGTTATTACTCTTTATTTTCTCTCTCAGATTTAGAGGTCAGTACAGGAGAGCACACCCGATCAATATCTTATCAAAGAGTTGTTTCCAATGGTTAGTTATCAACGATAAAAGCCGGTTTGATTTGAACTATTTGTGTTTAGCAACGCGTTGATCTTTTTGTTAGACAATAATGGTTGGTCTTTATTAGGATATTTTTAGTCTTGGTGGGAGAGTATCGTTGTAGTTAAGTCTACCTGGAAGTTTAAATCGGTCCACATAACACCTTAGCGTTAAGATACGGATATTTGTTTGTAATGGAGGCACACAGATAATTGCTTTTCAATAACACGTTTCTATAACCGAATGTTGACTTTTTGCGTTTCACCAGAATAAACAGGATTAAGATATTATCTTTTACAATATTTTGACTCAGTTTGTTTCAGTTCATGCAACGACGAGTCCATTGATCAATTGTTTATATGAACTTAGATTTACAGACACTGACAATAAATTAATCTGATTGATAAGTAAACAATCGATATATTCAAGGACGATGAAAGATAACAACATTATCATAAAACAAACAACAGGAACCCATAGCTTATGGTATGTTCCTTCTTCTCTGTAACTGTGATGTAAACATGTATACATAAATATAAAATATATTCGGGGGAGGGGGGGGGGATAAAGTGATAAGGATTAGAAACTTGGAGTCTGTCCAACGTCCGGGTTCGGCTCCCTCTGATACCTCGAAACAGTCACCGTGTTCAAATTCTCAAAAATTGATAACGACTAGAAAATTCAGCATCATTAATGCCGTTTATTTAAGGTTTATGCTGGCTGATGCCCCCCTTCTTCACGAAATAGTTCCAAACTAAAACTGCATCTGTATCTTTTATGAATGGTAGCATATCATTTCTAATTTTAGTAAGAACTTTAAGCTTTGATTACCATTATATGGCATAGCATTACTGGTTGCGTACTTTACCCTTCTTTAATTTTATAGAAAGAAATACGATAAACAAAACTATATTTAGTAGCGTTATATATAACCTCTAATCCAGAGTTACAACAGACGTGTGTTGGAGAATACGAACATTTGTCAATGAATTTGGCTGATACCGAAGTGTTTAATATTGATATTTGTAATCTGAATACATTTGAAAAATTCTGTGTATTTAGTAATCAATTTTAACAGTTAGTATTTTCTCAACTTTCCGTTTAAATCTCTCCAACGTGAAATTGTCTGGAAACTTTCATCACACTTTTAGCAACTTTGGTGCTGTGTGACGACTCTGGGCTTCCATACAAAAACTTTTTCAATGTCATTTGATGGACATTGTAAACGACATGAGTAATATATATGCATATTCATTGCGTCCTGTGTCAAGTAGGTCTTGCCCACGTAGATTAAACACTCAGGTAGATCGTATCATCAAACACAAGTGATAAGGATTCGAAACTTGGAGTCTGTCCAACGTCCGGGTTCGGCTCCCTCTGATACCGCGAAACAGTCACCGTGTTCAAATTGTCAAATTTTGATAACGACAAGAAATTCAGAATCATAAATGCCGCTTACTTAATGTTTATGCTGGCTGATGCCCCCCTTCTTCACAAAAGAGTTCCAAAATAAAACTGTATCTGTATCGTTTTATGAATGGTAGCATATGCTTTCTAATTTGAGTAAAAACACATCTGTAATGTATGTCTTATACACGAGTGTAGGACACTGTGACAGTTTTAGTTATTAGGAAGCTAATTTAAAGTTTTTTAATAACAGAATTCTTTTACAAATCACAGGTAGGTTGTGTAAGGCAACATTTTCCATCAGTTGCAGGGTGTATATGCATTAACGTAATCAAATAAACCTAAATTAGGAAATGTTTTGACATCAGTTTAAGACGCCATGTTTAATCTTTACAAGAAGTCCTATATAGTAAATTTTAGAGTTAAAAGCAGATCTTTCCTCCTCTTACAAGCTCTTGAATATATTGTGTAAAGAGTTCACTTGATTTCATACTTTGTTATGTG